ATGCGGCCGACAATAATTTGGGCACGAAGGCTCTTGATCAGTTGTCAGCACCAACGATAACTAGTTTTGAGGCCGAGTGAAAGAACTGGCAGAATACGGTGTTTGGGGTTGGATGTTTCGGGTAAGTACTTGCGTGCGTGGCGAGAGAACTCGGCGAAACCGTGGCGGAGGCGAGAGTTTCGTACGGGGCCTCATGAGCACTTTTGGGGCGGATATTTCTAAACAACGCGACAAAATACACACACACACACACCTCCAGCAATGTTTTTCGACAACACAAAACACCAGCAACGGAAAAGAACAAAAAACAACAAATCAAACATAAATAATACAGCCAGAATACACGGTACATGCGACATTCAGAGGGGGTCCCTGTCAAGTGCCTGTATGTGCCCAGAAAAATCACCGGCATCACTGTACCGGACCGGTACTATTCATGATACCGACAATGACTTGGGAATTCAGTGTGTGCAAGACGAAAACACCGGCACTATGTACCAGGCGCCGGCACTACCGTATGCGACACCAAGATAACACACACCCTGGACCGATTTTCAAAGCTCGATTACTCCACGATGAAGAGGATGCACAAACGAAACGATACATCTTTCGGAGAGCTCTCGACCAGGCGGCCTCAACGCCGTCGTTTTCGGCGCCGTGACTCTCTCTGCTGTTGATAAAATCGAGCTTTGAAAATCAGTCCAGGGGGTGTGTTATCTAGTGTCATGTCGTATACGGTATTCAAACGGAACTTAACACCCCCCCCTCCCCCCCTCGGTACGCACCGTGACGACGATGAACCGCCAGCTTCAAGGTACTGACAATGACTTGGAAATTCAGTGTGTGCAAGACGAAAACAACGGCAGTACCATGTACCAGGCACCGGCACTATTCAACAACCGGCACTAAACAGGGACCCCCCACTGTACAAGAATCATCACAACAACCCCCGGGACCCCCCTCCCCCCCCCCCTCTGCACGCACCTCGCTGTCCTGCTTTCGAGCACCATGACGACGATGAACCCCCAGCTATACTTTTAGGGACTGACCATGACTTGGAAATTCTGTGTGGGGGAGACGAAAACACGGGCGCTTCTTACTAAATTGGGGCCGGGGACTATTCTACGGGCCCCTGACTAGGTCTGCGTTGCTGACTACCCATGGTGCCCCCGTCGGTACACCCCTCGCTGTTTTGAGGGCGAGCGCCC